AGGCTCTGGATTTATTCAGAGTTAAGAAAAATCATCTTTGACCAAGGGAGACCACCTGAGCAATCTCCAGTAGGAACAGATGGCCCAGATGTCTGAGTTCTACATCCAGAACAGATTCAAGACTGCTGCCTGAGATGATCAAGACTCACAGGATACTTCAGTCAGGACTTGATCATAACTCTAAATTTTCTTTAGGCCCCCATAAGATTATCAGCGCCCCCAACCAGCAGGAAGTAGCCTGGAATACTATGCCCACATTCCCAAAAAATGGACTATGGATATTTTCCTTTGTTTTTTTAAAAAAAGAGGGGGAAGTGGTGCGGGAAAATTGTCTGTATTCTGTCAATCATGTTTTAAATAAAACGCTGATTGGCCAGGCAGGAGGTGTAGGCAGGAAAACCAGACAGGAAGTGGAAATGATGCAAGGACAGCAGGAGAATTCTGGAGAGGAGGAAGTTGATTCCTCCCACTCCTGCCCAGATCACCAAAGCAGCAGGATGTGAGCTGCCCCACTGAAAAAGGTACTGAGCCACATGGCTAACATAGATCAGAAAAATGGGTTAATCAAGATGTGAGAGTTAGCCAGTAAGAAGCCTGACCTAATGGGCCAATCAGCATTATAACTTATAGAGATCTCAGTGTGATTTTTCTCTGGGACTAAACAGCTGGGGGGCCGGGCAGGACAGAAACACAAACAAACAGGCCCCCTCATGTTACACTCAGTCATGTAATTCTTGGCACATTCTTTGCTCCAATATCTTTATCTATCAGTGAGGATGCTGGTGTTGATAATCCCTCTTCTTCAGAATTGCATTAAAATAGCTAAAGCACTTATAATGTTTCCTGGAATAAAGTAAGTACCATAAACCTTAAAATCTCTTTTTTGGAAGATCTGGAGCAGATAATACGGTAAGAAGAATGTGTCTTTTGGACCAGATGGACCTAGTTCAAATGCTATATATTGATCACAAATGGTACACACCCAAACTCCCAGCACTCAGGAGGCAGAGACAAGTGAATCTCTCAGAATTGTAAGCCGGCCATGTCTACAAAGTGAGTTCCAAGCCAGCCAGGGATACACAATAAGATCCTGTCTTGAGGGGGATCAGGGGAGAATCAGTAAAGATGGGCTAAGTTATACTGTAGCAACAAACAACCTCCCAAATCTCAAGACAATAAGCATAATGTCTTATCTTGATGACATGTTCACCTTGGGTCGACTGAGGGTCACTCTTCATGTCATCCTCCCTCGGCTCAGGCCCCGCCTGCTCAGGCGGTCATTATCTGGAACATTGCCAATTGCTCCAGCAAAGGGACAGAGAGGCTTAGAGGGTCTTATGGTTTGGCTCTTATATGTTCTTCAAAGGCTAAATGACTGCACACCAGCCTGTGTTGTTCTTGAGAGATGTAGACCTTTACAAGACGGAGCCTAGTGACTAGAGTAAGGACACTGGGACATGCCATCAAAGGGAACACTGAAATTTTTGATGCCATGAGATGAATACGTTTCCTTCACCTCATACTCAGTCATATCATGTTACTTGGCCCTGCCACAAGCCCAAAACAAAAAGGCCAAGTGACTATAGACTAGAACCTCTGCAACTGAAAGCCAAAATGTGCCTGACCTCCCTGTAAGCTGATTATTTCACTGTCATGACCACAGAAAGCAGACTAAACTCAAACAAACCGAGTCAGCAATCAAGTGCTATCTCCTGGAGTGACATCTATTTCACTCACAAGAACCAGTCCTGAAAGTACTGGTTCTTTCCCCCAGAAAGCAGAGGTGGAGATGTCCTGAGAGCAGGAATAGAGCCTCTGATCAACGCTTGGACAAGTCCTAGAAATCTATCAAAATCCACTTTAACAAGCTACATAGTTGGTTTGATATATATGTTTTAACTAGAGTTTATGTGCATTGGTGTAAAGGTATACAGACAGTTGTGAGCTACCACTGGTGGCAGAGCATCACCATGCCTAGGCTGTGTCTCCTAGGTCTTGTGACCCTTCAGTTAACATGCCCCGTGGACAGTGAGCTCAGAGCCCCGCACTGAGGAGCACACCACACAGGTGGCACTGGTACAGTTACCTCCCCCACTCACATTCTGGGAAATACTGAGTTATTTCTCTCTGGAGGTTTCAGGAGTTGTTTGGGTGGTTGTTTTGTTTTGAGACAGGTTCTCTGTAGCTCAGGCTGACCTAGAACTCATTCTATACACTAGGACAGCTTCAAACTCATGGCAATCCTCTTGAATGCCCAGCTTGGAAGGTTTTATGTTCGTGTGTATATGGGTGTATATACATGTTCAGGTGCATGTGCACATGAATGCGTATTCCAGTAGAGGCAAAAGGGCAATCTCAGATGTCATTTTTTCTCAGGAGTCATTGATCTGATTTTTTGAGACAGAGTCTCTTAGTGGCCTAGGACTCACCACGTAGGCTAGACTGGCTGGCCAGTGAGCCCCAGGAATCTTCAGGTCTCTACCTCAGATTTGGATTACAAATGTGTGCCATCATATCATACTTTTTACACAAATTCAAATTTTCATGCTTGCATAGTGAACACTTTGCTGACTGACCTATTCCACGCCACTGTTTGTGAAGTTGTGCTTTTCACATTTATTTATGTATTCGGTATATATGGGAGGCAGGAGGCAGCTGTGCCTCAGCACATGTACAGATAGGACAACTTGTGGGAGGCAGTTCTCTCTTTCTACCATGTAAGTGGGAATGAACTCAGGCCAACAGTCTGGGTGGTAAGCTCCTTTATCCACTGATATCCACCTTGCTGACCCCTTCTTGTGCTTTTTGGAGATGAGCCCTACTGTCCTGCAGACTAGCCTCAAACTCTGTAGCTGAGAATGACCTTGAACTCTTTATTCTCCCCTGTCACCTCCAGGTGCTAGGAGTCTAGGTGTGCACTCCCAAAACAGGCTTAAGCAAAAATAATTTGAAAGGCTGAATTTCAACTAAAAAGAACAACTTAGTGACTGTCCATCTGCCTGGATGAAACTATAATCAAAAGACAGGAAAAGGGTGACCACTGTGTACCAGGCTCACCTGATCTCATTAACTCCTTATCCCAAAACCTATATCCAGAAGGGCCATCATGATCCCAGCACTCAGGAGGCAAAGGCATCTGTAAGTTTGAGGCTAGCCTGGTCTAGAGAACAAGCTCCAGGACAGCCAGGGCTATTACACAGAGAAACCCTGTCTTGAAAAACAAACAAAACAAAACAAACAAACAAAAACTCAAAACAAAAATAAAATCTATACTTGTTTGAAAGCCACAAAAAAGGTTCAAGCAAAAAGTGGGGAGACTTGCTTATTAGAACAGCAAGGCATAGAGGCAAAAGGGCCTCCCTGTGGCCAACCACCAAGTGTTCAGTCCCACTGTGGCTCTGCATATCTGCTTGCAGGCCTTCCTTCTCTGTATCACTCTATATTCTACCCATTTGTCTCTACCTGTTTATTGTTGTTACTTTGTGTTCATTTCCGAGACATGATCTCCCAGTTAGCTTCCTGAATCTGTTTCTGGTTCTTACAGCATCTCCTAATCCATCTCAAATCTCACTCAAGGAATGGGATTAGCCCTATCAGTCTCTAGTCTAACCAATGTGACTGAGTTATGCTATGTAAAAATGGCCACCAAAGATTATTTCTATTAGAAACAGATGCACAGCCAGAAGTGACACTGAACTGGACACATGTCCCAAACATTACTCTACTATTGTCATACATGCAGAAACAAAGTTCTCCTCTAGTACCCAGACTCTCAGAACAGGATTCTGTGATCCCTCTATTTCCACCATCCAAATACATGGCTGCTAAACATATAAGAATTCTCAGAAACCAGAATCATCGCTGTTTGGAAAAAGGCTTAGGCCAAGGGCTGAGGTTTACTGACAGCCGTGGCTAGCTTCCTGTGTGTAGATCAAGGGAGACCCCCCCCCCGTTGGTGTAGGAAGTCCTTTTATATATATGTTGCTTTTATTGGTTAATGAATAAATCTGCTTTCAGCCAATGGCTTAACAGAGTAAAGCCAGGCAGGAAATCTAAACAGGGATGTAGAGAGAGAGTAGGCAGAGTTGGGGAGAAGCCATGTAACCGCCACAGGAGACAGACATCTCCACCAGTAGGCCATGACCTTGTGGTGATGCACAGATTAATGGAGATGAGTTAGTTTAAGATAAAGATCTAGCTAGAAAGACGCTTAGCTATTGGCCAAACAGTATTGCAAATAATATAATTTCTGTGTGATTATTTTGGGTCTGAGCAGCCAGGAATGAATGAACAGCCTCTGACAACAGATTAGTGTCAACGTGGTCAAATATCCATGTAAAACCGAGAGATCTTGATAAAAATTCTAGACACAAAACAATTTAATGCAGTTTCTTGGTAGCCACATTTTTTTTTTCCTGATGGACCTACAGCAAGCAGGGATGCAGCAGCTCCTTTGAGAGAGGTGTAGTAAAAACCGTGTGGCTTCTTTATGAAATGGAAGCTTTCTGGTTTGTGCTACCAGCATGAACTCTGGCTCTTTCAGGAGGACAAGCATTTGAATAGGGTTTGCGGACAGCATGCTGCTTGGTGGCAGCATGGGCCAACTGCTTACTAGAGTTGAGATGGTGAGCGTGGCTTCTACCTGGCAGTCTCAGAGGCAGTGACCAGACCTCTGCCATGTTGGACTAGGAGGAACCAAAAGGCAAAGAAGCATTAGTCCTAACAATGCTGCTTAACATTTTAAGAGGCAGTCCTGGTCGGTCAGAAAAGGATTACCAATACACAACAGGACAGATTCAGACATAAAAGACCTCTAAATGAAACTAGACACAGTGTGTTTAAAAATGTATGAAGGCTTGGAAGAGAGAAGAAAAAGAGTATAGAGAGTTATAAAAAGAAGTAAATGGTTTAGAAAAATGAAACAAAGTCTTTAGGAAGACAGAGTACTGACAGTCATAGGTTAAAGGAGTATCAGGGTGAAAAATGCAGAGGACTTAGTTCCTAAGAGACCAGCACTCCTGCTGAGCTGGACTTCACCCCAGTCCCTTCTGAGTTCTCCCTGGCTGCTGGCTTCTCGTCTTCCCCCATAAGACGAATGTTGTACTTTTCCAGAAATTCACTGAGTTCTTTCCCCTTTGTCTGAAGCTGCTGTGACAGTGTCTCAATGATCTTCTGAATCTGCTCTTTGTTACCCTCCAAGGCAGGCAGCACTTCTTTGACTGTCCACTCCACCAGCACACCTCCAACCATTCGGTAGCACTTGCAGGTTTCGTCCACTTCCTTCAGGGTATCAATCACTAGGCTGTGCTCATTCAGTTCCATCTCCAGCTCAGCTGCTTTGGATGCCAAGCCTCTCTGCTCCTGCCAAAGGCGATTAAAGCCAGTAATTGCCTGTTCTGCCGACATTGCTCCCTTCCCCATGCTGTTCCCGCTGCTCTTGCTCACACGACTGCCGCTGTCTGCCATCTTCACCACCTGCATTTGGCTAACTCTTATATCTTAATTTAACCCATTTATATTAATCTGTGTACCACCATGTGGCTGTGGCTTACCAGCAAGGTTCTGACATGTCTGTTCCCAATGGTGGCTACATGGTGTCTCTTTACTCCACCTTCTTTCTCCCAGCATTCAGTTTAGTTTTTTCCACCTAGCTCTACTATGCCCTATCATAGACCAATGTAGATTTTTTTATTAATTAACCAATAAAAGCAACACATATACAGAGGGGCTTCCTACACCAGCCCAATAAACAGCAGGAAGTAGTTCAGAGAACTATGCCCAAATTCCCAAATATTGTTTATAATTTTTTTTGCATTTAAAGGGGGATATGCTATAGAAATGAATACTTTGCATTGGTATGGATCTTGGTTTGTTGATACAAATTTAAGGTCAATTTTGTTATATGTATATTTCTGCTCTTGATTAAAGTATTGTGTTTGTACAGCTCATTCAAAAATGTAATGTGTAATTTAAAAATGCAGGTTATTAGATAGTCATCTATAATAGTCAACCTTGTAGTCAGAATATATATATATATATATATATATATAATAGATAATCTCCAAAACTTTCAAAAACCTACAGAATATGGCATTTAAAATGTTTTAATAACTTAGGATTTTTCATGACAATGAGACTCATCTTCTCCTGGCAGCACCAATCTACTTCAAGAGGAATATGGACATTGAAGAGGCTCCTTATGGAGTTGGTTAGCCATTTAGGCAAAAAATTGCTCTTGCCTAGACTGCTTTATATGCTGTATGAACTGAACATGCAGGACTCACAGAAAAATGACTGCTGAACTTGCCTAAAGGTGAGATGGTCCTTTGGGGCTCCTGCTTCATGAAAGAGTCTGCCAGACATTCTGCAGGACACAGAAGAAAGCAACTGATGGACTTTGCCATTACAAGGCAGAACAGATCTTCAAATTTCCTGCTTCCTGGAAAAGTCTACTGGAGTCTATGGACCTGTGGGCTGAAGACTGGATGCCCCAATGTTACAGAAGAACTTTGGGTGACTGTCTGGGCAGCAAGATGTCTCTGTCAATTCTAGAGTTTTGGAAGTTGCTTACAGTGCTGTTAACTTAGGTAATATTATATCCTTCTGGGATCTTTGATGGAGTTGAAGAATAGATAGTTATAATTATAGTTTTACTTAGTTATTATAAAAGATAAAATAGATTTAATATTGTAACTATAATTCTTGCTTGATATCTGTTTTGTTATATGTAATTTTACTATGTTAAAGTTAAACCCTTTCTTTTTCTTTAAACAGAAAAGGGGGAATGGTATGGGAAGTCCTTCTGTATATGTGTTGCTTTTATTGGTTAATGAATAAAGCTGCTTTCAGTCAATGGCTTAACAGAGTAAAGTCAGGTGCAAAATCCAAACAGAGATGTAGAGAGAGAGAGTAGGCGGAGTTGGGGAGAAGCCGTGTAGCTGCCGCAGGAGAAAGATGCCTCCACTGGAGCTCACCAAACCTTTGCCAGTAGGTTGATGGTGATGCACAGATTAATGGAGATGGGTTAGTTTAGGATATAAGAACTAATTAGAAATATCCTTAGGCTATTGGCCAAACAGTATTGTAAATAATATAGTCTCTGTGTGATTATTTCAGGTCTGAGCAGCTAGGAATGAATGAACAGCCGCTGACAAAATCCCATTAGTTCTTGGAGGTATTAATGAGGAAGAGAGAGGCAAAGGAATGATAAAACCTTCCTTCAGCCTCAGAGCCCCAGAAGCCTACGAGCTTCTTGTTCTGAAGGCCAGTGTGTGGTGCTGACCCTGTAAGGAGCACTGCATGGGGCCAGAGCCAGGGAGAGAATATCTGCGGGGAATGTCAAAATTAAAGGCTGATCAGTGCCAAAGGGGAAGCCAGGATCAGTGAGCCAGAGCCTGGCAGCACAGCTGATACCAAAAGGCAGGGGTGTGACCAAGAGAAGAACTCAGGTGGGGAGACAGTGAGTAGGGACTGGATACCCAATACACAGCAAAACATGCTGCAGAGGCCCCTAGATCTGGCTTCAATGACAATGGTTTGCACAGCGACCATAGGAAACTCACACTCTGCAGGTGGGAATAGAAACCCATCTCTTTCCTCTGGAGGCAGTCACTCATATACATTAAAAGCCAATGAAGCTGGGAGTGCTGGTACATGCCTTTAGTCCCTGCACTTGGGAGGCAGAGGCAGGCAGATCTCCGTGAGTTCAAGGCCAGTCTGGTCTACAGAGTGAGACCCAGGACAGCCAAGGCTGCACAGAGAAACCCTGTCTTGGAAAAGGAAAGGAAAGGAGAGGAGAGGAAAGGAGGGAAAGGAAAGGAAAGGAAAGGACGAAGGAAGGAAGGAAGGAAAGGAAAGGAAAGGAAAGGGCCACTGAGGAAATCCAGGCATGATACCCACACCTACTTGGAAGGCTGCAGTAGAAGGATCACCTGAATCTCAAGTTAAAGACTAGCCTTGGCAATATGGCAGGCATGACACCCATCTTGTTGTTGTTGTTATCTTTAGTTTTGGGGGTTTGTTTTTGTTTTTTGAGACAGGGTTTCTCTGTGTAGCCTTGACTGTCCTGGAACTCACTTTGTAGACCAGGCTGGCCTCAAACTCACAGAGATCCCCTGCTTCTGCCTCCTGAGTGCTGGGATTAAAGGTGTGTGCCATCACTACCCAGTGATACTCATCCTTAAAAAGAAGAAAAAACAATAATAATGGTGGTGATGGTGATGCTGGTGATAATGATACTTCTACTACCAGGCTCCACTGCTGTTTCTCTAGCTCCTAGAAAAGAACCTGATAAGAGGGACCCAACTTAAAAAAAGAACAAAACAAACCTGTTGAATGAATGATAAGCGAACAAGCAGATATATGTATGAGGATGTTTGGCATAATAATGAATTAGGAATAACCTAAGGGACATCCAATATAGAAATAAGAAAATTATGGCATTGTAAGTAAAGAGAATCATAGTAAGTAAAGAGAATAAAATGTTAAAGTATGTGTATGTGTTCAGGTGCGTGCACTTGGGTTTATGTGCATGTGTCTGTACATGTGTGAGTCTATGTGTTTGAGGGATATGTGAGTCTGTATATGCATGTGTGTGAGTGTTGTATATCAGTATGTATGAGAGTATATGTGTATATGTGTGCATTCGGGGGTGTAAATCTGTATATGCATGTGTATGTATCTTTAAGCATGTGTGTAGTGCATGTTTATGTGCCTCTGTGTGTGTATGTGTGTGTGCCAGAGGTCAGCCTTGGGTGTCATAGCTCAGAAGCCACCTGCTTTGTTTTTTAAGCCAGCATCTTTCCTGGGTCCTGGGGGGCTCTCCATTTAAGCTAGGCTAAGTCAGGGATCTTTTTGTCTCTACTTCCCCGGTACTGAGATGACCAATAAAGCATCACACCCAGCTTTTTACAAAGAACCTGGAAGTCAAACTCAATTCCTCATTCTCAAATGGAAAGAACTGTTTGAACTGGACTATCTCCCAAGCTCAGGCATTTCTCATCAAGAAAGAAAAAGAACGCCCATATTCCCAAATATTGTTTATAAATTTTCTTTTACATTTAAAGGGGGATATGATATAGATATGAATAATTTGCATTGGTATGGAATTTAAGGTCAATTTTGTTATATGTATATGTATTTCTGATCTTGATTAAGGTATTGTGATTGTGTAGTTCATTTAAAAATGTAATGTATAATTAGGAAATATAGGTTGTTAATGGATAATTATCAATAATAGTCAATCTTATAGTCATGTTAGTTAGATTTTCTAGATATATAGAGATATATTTCAGTTAGATAGGTATTCATATCTTTCAAAGACTTCAAAATATGGCATTTAATGTTTTAATAACTTAGGGCTCTTCATGACAATGAGACACGTCTGCTCCTGGCAGCACCAATCTACTTCAAGAGGAAGATGGGCATCGGAGAGGCCCCTTATGGAGTTTGATAGCCATTTGGGCAAGAAACTGCTCTTGCCTGGACTGATGCATAAATTGGACACAAAGAACCCGCAGAGAGAGGACTGCTGAACTTGCCTAAAGGTGAGATGGTCTTTCGGGGTTCCTGATTCATGAAAGAGTCTGCAAGACATTCTGCAGGACACAGCAGATAGTGACTGAACTGTCTTTGAAGTTTCCTATTTCATGGAAATGTCTGCTGGAAACTATGGGCCTGAAGGCTGAAGATGGATGTCCCAACGATACAGAGAAACTTTGGATGACTGTACAGGCAGCGAGATGTCTCTGTCATTTCTAGAGTTTGGAAGTTGCTTATTTCTTGTTTGCTTAGGTAGTATTATATCCTTCTGGAGTCTTTGATGGAGTTGAAGAGCGATTAGTTATAGTTTTCTTTAGTTATGATAAAAGATAAAGTAGATATAAGTATTATAACTGTAATTCTTGCTTGATAACTGTTATGTTATATACAATTTTACTATGTTAAAATGAAAGCCTTTCTTTTTTGTTTAAACAGAAAAAGGGGAAATGATGGAGAAGGGTCATATTACTTTTATTGGTTAATAAAGAGACTGCCTTGGCCTTTTTGATAGGCCAGCCCTTAGGTGGGTGGAGTAGACAGAACAGAATTGTGGGAGAAAGAAAGCAGAGGCAGGTTGTCTCTATGACTCGCCTCTCCGAGACAGCTGCAGGTTAGAATCCTCCTGGTAAGCCACCACCTCGTGGTGCTACACATATTATTAGAAATGGGTTAGATCAATATGTAAGAGTTAGCTAATAAGAGGCTACAGATAATGGGCCAAGCAGTGTTTAAAAGAATACAGTTTCCGTGTAATTATTTTGGGTAAAGTTAGCAGGGCGGGCGGTGGGAAGCGGCCCGCAGCTCCTTCTACAGTTGGAGCAAGAGTCCAATCTGTTAGCGATCAACAAACCAAATGATTTCTGAATGCTGGTGTCTTGCAGCAGCCAATGCTTCAGCAGGGCAGTGGCAGCAAATCACAGGTGGGG